TAAATATGCTTCCCCCCCCCCCCCCTCCCCACCTACTCAAAATACTCCAATGAAGTCTAGCGAACTCTGGCGAGGTGTAACAATGGGGTCTTCTTCTTCAATTCTCCTTTAGGCTTCCAGGTGCTAATCTTCAATTCTCCTTCATTTAGGCTCATTGTACTATGTTCTAGTTGGTTGGTTTGCTTTATTGAGTTTCACTTTGTGTTTTGTGGGTTGGTATGGTTAAAATTGTTATGTTTATGGGTTCTTGTTGTATGGGCGTAAACTTTTCAAAAAAATGTGTCAATGAATTCATGGTTGATTTTTGGGGGCTTTTAGGTAGAGTTTTGGGTGGTTAGTTGAAGTTGGTTTTATGTGCTTATTTGTAGCTAGTTTAGGGCTGCTAGATTGAAGGGGCTACTGGTTTTGTGGCTTTTAGCTAGAATTTAGTGGTTATTTGGGGTTGATTTTGAGTGGTTATGGGATTTGTTTTGGGGACTTTTATGAAAGTGATTTGGGGTAGGTATGAGGGACATTATCATTGTGAATTCCAAAAAAAAAAATAGTATATCAATGTGGAGAAAAGATAAATACTAGAAGGGGGTTGAATAGTGTGTATTAAAAACCCGCATGTTTTTCATAGTGAAGTAGTAATGCTAGTCAAAGGAAGCACGAAGAGCAGTCAGATGAAACATTGGATACTTTTATTTTGATTCATCTAAACTATTGAGACTACATCTAGTTCTTAATCAAACCAAATTGAGTTCCATTATCTTTAAACGAAGATATAAGTATTCTTTCAATAAGTCACTTCTAACTCAACCCTAAGTATTCTTTAACTTGCCTTTTCAAACAGTTACCCAAGTATTCTTTTAACAACAAATCTCTTTAGGCTTACCAACCAAATATTTTTTTACAGTCAAGCTTCTCCAAACTCAAAACAAGTATTCTTTTTGAAACAAGCCTCTCTAGGCTCAAAATAAGTATTCTTTTTCAAATAAGTCTCTCCAAGCACAACCTTATAACAATGGTTATTAAGGTCACACAAATGTAGTGTTCATTTCACTTAGACGTTATACAACCAGTATAGAGAAGTAAACTTTTTACAATAAAGAATAAATTTACAAAGAGTGTTTCTTTCTATACAAGTCTTTTTTGTATATTATGTGTCTTTTCTTTCTTAAGCTTTGAGTCTTCTTATATAGTAGCTTGAATAAGATGATTGTTGCAACACTTTAAGTCCAACTAACAAGTTTTTTTTGTCTATCTTCATCATTTTTCCTTATGATGACAGATAACCATTCAACTCGTTTAATGTGAGCATTAAATGCATTTCACCAAATGATATCTCTTATGTGATCAAGGAGGCTATTTATCAACTTTTCATACCAAATGGAACTTGCAAAAGTAATGTCAGTGGAGTGCAGCAACAATGACTTTATTTGCTTTTCTCCGTGATTTTAGGGATCTTTATCTTTGGTCTTGACGAAAAGTATGATCTTGTTCTCTTTAACATATTTGTGGGTTCCAATATAATCTTCTAATTTGATCTATTAAGAAATGAAGCATTCAAGAGGCTTTGTTGTTAGCTATGTAGCATGGATTCGGGCACAATACGAAAACACGACACGGATACGGATATAAGGATATGACAAAACCAAAAAACGTAAGATACATGGGCACGACATATATATAATATATAATATAAATAACATGACAAAAATATTATATATTAATACAACAATAACCTACTAGGTCTAAAAAAAATTATTAAGAGACATCATATTCCTAATTTTCTTTCTAAATCTCAAATCCTCCCTTCATTGTTTTTATTTTTATTAAAACTTTTTTCTTTTCTATTATGTAAAAGTTAAGTAAAGAGAAATAAAACAATTTTCTTCATTATTTCTATTTTTATCAATTTTTTCTTTTTTTAAAAAAATCTCAAATCTTACTCTCTTTGTTTCTATTTTTATCAAGATTTTTTTTTTATTTTTTTAAAAAAAATCTCAAATTCTCCCTTTTTTGTTTATGCTTTTATTGAGATTTATTATTCTTCTTTTTTTAAAAAAAAAATTTAAATCATCCCTTTTTTGTTTATGTTTTTATTGAGATTTTTTCTTTTTTAAATAACAAAAAAGCTTAAATCGACGTATCGAATAGTACATCGAGATGGAGACGTGTTAATTTACAAGTGTCCGCAATGGAGACACGTTAGTTTTGTAGGTGTCCGCAATGGAGACACATCAATTTTGTAGGTGTATGTGATAGAGACGTGTCTAATTTGTGTAGACATGGTCTGTCGAAGTGTTCGAGGTGCATCCATAGTGTGTCCGCTCCTAAAAAGTGTCAAACTCGGGGACACAACAGTCCTAGGCTATGTCCGTACAACATAGGTTGTTAGTCCCAATAAATAATAAGCATTTAATGTATGAGACAAATTGTATGTTTTGTCTAATTTACATTGTCTTATTGACGATTTGCATCTTATACTTCTAAGTATTTTTAAAGATATTTTCGAAGATGTTTTTGAAGATATGTTCTCTTATAAAAACACTTTTTTTTCTTAGTATTAAAATTCTAAACTAAATGGATTCAAGATCGTCTTTTGACTTAACAATCAATAAAGAATCATAGTTTACTTGAGGGGAATTTATGATTTCTTGATATGTGGAGTAGAAAGGGATGTCAAGGACCTCAAAAAAAAAATCAAGTCAAGTAGCTTAAAGTAAGTTGCAAAGGAACCTCGGGAATAATCTAGCATACTCATTATTCCAAAAGGCCTTCCATGTCCACTTGTAAAAATAAAAAATAAAAATTTCAATGTCTGATCGACAAATGAAGCAAAATAAATGGATGTAAAATGGAATTTTTATTCCACTTCCATGGACAAACTAATCATTGATTTTTTTTAAATTCAATATTAGTAACCTAATCGCACACAATACACCTTTTGTACCTTTTCATCTCTTATTGATGAATGTGACAATATGGTTAGTGTTGAAAGATACAAGTCCATTCAAATTCAAATAATCAAATAGTGTAAACACATATAAAGCTCTTTGATTTAAACAATCTTTTACCCTTTAGCCAAATCTTGTTCTTTGTGCATAGTAATTGGGATACCCTCTATCTCACATGCTAATATATTTAAATAAAAGAAAAGAGATAATAAATGAGTTCAAAATAAATTTTATTGAAAAGAAAATTGTTCACAAGGTCTTTTGAAAAAGGAAAAGTTGAAAATGATGGAATAGACACGAGATGGTGGCGTCACTCCTAGGTAGAAGATAAGTCAAAGAAGGTTTCTCACTACAAGGAAAAGATCCTTGATAAAAGAAGCAAATGGAGTTGCACTCAAAGAAAAACTCCTAGACTCTTGAAAAATGAGAGAAAACTCAATCTAAATTCTCATGTATTATCAAAAGTGAGGAATTATACACAAGGAGATTATATATACAATTTGATAGTTTGTGGTGCATGTTAAGCTAACAAAAATATTAGTGTAAACAAGATTAGGTTAACTTGTACTAAAGTTAACTAACTCTAGTTCTTGAAATTCAAATTTAAAATTTCCCTTCAAAAAAAGATGTCAACATCCTAAATCTAGAAGAGTTTGCCACATGGCAAGGTACAAAAGGTGTGACGGGAGTATTAGTAAAAATTGGGGTGTAGAAGAAAACGTGTAAAAATTGTGATTAGTGCATAGAACATGTGACTTGTTGATGATGTGTGAACTAATGAGAATGTGCGGGAACCAATACGGATACCCACCATAATGAAGGTATAACTCCAAACAAATCCAATAAGCACATTTTTCAAATATTAGTTGCATCCCTCCTAAAATATAAAATACACCCCTAAAAAAATTGCAAGGGAATAATTTCTTAATCTATTTGATCCAAAAATACAAGGTCAAAACTAAAAGAAAATATTTACAAATATTTACTAAAAGCAACCCAAATTTCAATATGAGCTTAGGTCATTATCCTTCAAACTTATCTCACTCTTCTTGACTCTTTTTGAATTTGGCCCATAAGCGTAATTCCATTAATTGCATCTTGCCACAACTTCTTATTATACACACATTCTTATTGAAGGACACATCAAACTCATTATCACATAATTGACTTATACTAAATAGGTTATATTAAAGTTAATCAACAAAGAGCACTTTGTCAATAAATATAGATGAGGATATTCCTATTTTACTTATTCTTCTAATCTTGCCCTTTTGATTTCCTCTAGAGTGTCTTGACCACTAATTTTTTATCTTAGGCTTTAGAATGTCTATTTATCTCCTATCATGTGACATGAGCACCTGTCTAAGTACTATGACTAGACTTTCCTTCATATTTTCAAAGAGATCTACCATAAGAATTATTTAGGTTTTAGATACCCAAATAGACTTGGATCCTTTCCTATTAGTCTTAGAGACATTAGGAGGTCTTTCTTAGGCAGATGATTGCACTTGGATGTGATATGTCCAATTTTACAACAAAAGTAGCACGCTTTAACATATTCATCATCAATGTACCTTTAGCCTTTATATCCATGAACATATTTTTTTTTATAGACATTCCTCTTATATCTCAAAATTTTATCCAATATTTTAGTACCTTGGATGAATTTGGATAAGTTTATCTTGAGAGAATCCACTTCCTTCTTAAGTTTATCTACTTCATCTAGAGATTCGTCTAAATTAGTTTCTTTAGGAGAGTTTTCTAAAACTTTACATTTTTTTAATAATCTTTTTGTATGTCAAACGCGGAACAATTATATTTATATTATCCAAAATCATAATTTTTAGCGAATCAAACGGACCCCATATATGTAAAATGCTAAATCTAACAATGGGATGGAGTGCCAAACATGTCATGTAAAGAATTAATCTAGCAAGTCACAATAAATGGTTATTTACAGTGTAAATTAACGAATCAACTATGAATGTTAGTTCATTCTGCTTAAAGGCTAGAATGGACTGACGCTATGAGCCAATTTTAACATGCATTCAGGTACAAGGCGTCTTCTTGGAGGAGCCTTTGCATCTCTCTCACGGGCATCAGCGTCACCAGAGTGGATATATCCTACTAAATCTTCAAACATATCATCTTTGCCACCTCTCATGGGATCCTGAAAGGTATAAGCATTTCACATGAAAGTCTACTTAAAAAGATTTAACATCCACACGAAATCTTGTCACACAAGATTCAGCATTACTCCTTGCGTGAAAATTTATCAGTAAGCTAAATTAGCTAAGAAAATGTAAAAATAAAATGAGTAGTTTATATAATGCTCTGTTTCTTCGTATTTTTATTTTTGATCAAGTTAGTCAATCATGCCTTCGGCTTTAAGCTAATGATAAGATTAGGTTCAAGTGACTTCACGTGGGAAATTTAATGTTTTAAAAACCTAAATCTCAAGATAACTACATATAAAAGTTTGAAGGAACAAGCAATAGTTAGCAAGAACCCAAGATAACCCTGTTGCCATCACTGAGTTAAATGCTTGCACTAATTATCCTGAATATATTAGTACTCCTTATATTTTATTTATATCATAGATTATCGTTTAAAAAACGTGCAAAACTGATTGAAATTTGAAAACAAACTTAGCAGTTTACGCAAGAATGACGAGTGGTCAAATACCTGTAGAAACACATCTGTATGAGTCTTCCCATCGTACATAATTGATTCAGCTGTGGCTCCAACTCTTTTAAGAGTTTCAGCAAATGTTTTACTGTATAAAAAAATATTATGTTAATCAAAGTTCAGCAGCTGAAAAATAATTGAAAATTGTGAAAGAAAATGCTTCAATTTACAGAGAGAAGCAAATTAGTTGCACTGTAATGACAATACCCTGCTATAAAATTAAATAACCTCTCTTTAAGTTGTACATCTCTAGTAGCCTTGCTAATTTGGAGGATAATACAGGATTAAATCCTACTTTAGCCCATGCAAAAGCATAAGATGCACAAAATTCAATTCAACCTATCCAGATAAAAAAACATGAGCTCAACCATTCAACAGGATTTAGTGTGCAGGAAAACGATTCTTACTCGAATCTTTCTTTCATAAATTCAAAGTATATCCGGTCACAGGACACATTAGCTCTTCGCAAGAATCGAAACTTTATCACTTAAAAGAACATTATAATGCAATTTTAGGTTACCATTACTTATTTCCAGATTCACTATCAGTATTGACCCAAAATCGAAAAATAAAGTAAAATAAATCTAATCCTGTAGGTAGGAAGGTAGGTAAGTTATACTTAGCCTTCGGTTAGAATATTTTTAATGTGATCCTTTCTTTCATTTTGGGGCTTTCTCCATTTTGCATTGACTTCTTATTTTTAAAAGCTTTTAAATGTACTATGATTGATGTGTGGGACTTATCAAACAGATCAGAACATTTTAGTGCCAACGTAAATTTCCCAATTCACACAATCATCAAAGAAAACCTTCAAAAAACAAGTAATCAGCAGTGTATCAAATGGAACTGTAGCAAATACTACAATAAGAGACGTAATCATCTCCAAAAAGTTCAAAGTGCTTAAACAACCACATAACTTGAGAATACTTTTCCAATTTCAGAAGTTTGTCAAACCATGGAAAATCGCCAAGGTTTTTGAATGCTTGTTATGCCTTATATTGATGATTAACAACACATTTAAAATAAATCCATATGGTTAGTAATGAACTCAAAAAAATGGTACTCCCTCTGGTCCTTCATAATATACCAATTTATTAGTTTTATAAAACAAAATCATGATATACCAATTTTACCTTTTTACTTATCAATAAATTGTCATGGAAGAGGCGAAAATATTACTTCATATCAAAACTTATTTACTAATACAAAAAAATTAATAAATAGCAATCACAGAGTTCAAGAGACAGGAGTGAACATTTATTTCTCATATTCTCTTCTCATTATTCAACAAGAAACACATACTCACAATTTTTAATAGGGGTAAAAGATGAAAAATAAAAATAATGCTTTATAAAAAGAACTACCATTTCCTTCTAAATTGTCTTATAATAAGGATTGGAAGGAACATTTGAAAGCATGCTACTAGAATACTTGCAAATGGAGATGTTCTATTTTGAGAATGCATGGAACACACGTTCATCAAGATAAAAATTAAAAAGAGAATCTCGATACAGAAGAAAAGAACCACAGTGAGAGCAAGAAGACCTGACATGATAGCTGAACCTGTTTGCTGGTTGATGAACAGGATGAACAGCATTTATTGAAACCGAACCACTAGGAAATCAATGGGCATATAGAAGTATGTCACAACCAGAAATAATCACAAATTCTGCTACGATTCTAGGAAGAATACCTCATAGAAGAAGAAAGATAATAAGAATTAGATCAAGGGTATGATACAGAGGAGAAACACAAAGATATCTCTGTTATGGAAGGAAAAACGATGAGGACTCCTTCGCAAGGGTGACCCCCTTCACTCACATGTGGCTTGGTTTAGCACAACAAAACATTCCCCTGTTCAACAAATCGGTTTATTTATTAACTGTCACCACCTTCAACTGTAACTGTATGCCAGCTCTGCTGAACTGACTACCTAGACAATTGGCTAACTATTTCTCTCCTCATCTGTTTCTTCTTGCATTCACTTTTCAGACCCCCTCTTCATAACACCGAGCATACTAATTTGTTGAGTTTTATAGAAGATCATCTAATCATTTCACCTAAGTCTCTCTAAGTCAACCATAAATTTATTGGGCAGTCAGAGTCAATAATTTTTGATAAAGACAGATCCTTGAGCTAATATTTACGCACTGACTCCCACAATACGCTTGCTTTTGTACTGGGAAAGATCGTATGCTAGTCAGAAAAAACTGTCATGAAATTGAGTACTTTTCTTTTTCAAAGAGGAATATAGGAAATTTGAATTGGGTTTCTTAGAGCAAAAACTTAACAAGTTAATTTAAACAAAATAAAAAATATCGGAATCAACTGAAATTGTTGTAATTGCGTAGTGAATACTCTACGTAAAGTTAGGAAGAAGACTCGCATTATGAGCTTGGGAAGGAAAAAGAATCAGCTGGACGAATCCAAAGCTATAAATCCCCATTTCGAGTGTGTTTGGGAAGCTGTAAAAAACAGATTTCAATAATTGATTATGTAATAATAGATTATTTTTATAATCCATTATAATTATAATGGATTTTTGTTTGGATAAACTTGCTGAAAAACAAATTTAAGAAGTTTTTTTTTTAATACACCAAAAAAATCAGCTTTTACGTTAAAGAAAGAAAACTATTAAAAAGTAATCATAAACATCAAATTTTGAGATTAAAGAAAACAGCTTACTTTTGCACAAAAAAAAATATCTGTTAACAAATTTAAGCTGGTATCACAAAAAAAGTTTTTTTTTTTCAAAAAAAAATAATTTCTTTCGAAACCGCTGAAATCATGAGAAGAAAACCTTTCTCAAACAAACTCCTCATGTCTCTAAACATATCCTTAACTCTGAACCTATTAATCGACAGACCTTGCTGAAATTATCGAGTTTTAGGATGAAAAGGAGAGAAAAGAGACTAAAGTTGGGTTTGTTTAAACTTTATACTTTAAAAGCGTTTTTTTTAATAAAATAATTTTTTTATTTTTTTAAAATCTTTTTAAGTAGCAACTTCTATTCTTTTAAAATATATACTTTTTAAAAATCAATGTTTTTTATTTTTTTTATTTTAAACAAATTGCTCCTAAATGCTACAATTGATAATGACTTTTATGATGTGAATGTGATGTCTCATACTGATAAAAATATAAAAGCATTATCAATTATTTATGTTAATAATCTTAATTAAATTAAATAGGCTAAATTAGTATACATTTAATCATTTCTTTTACTTTTTATTTTATTTTATTTTTTTGTCTTTTAAAAATTTCATTATGGTCTTTAATCTTTTAATTTTAAATAAAGTTGATCCTTTCAAAATATTGACGGTTTTCAATTTTGTGACATGATTTTGGATATTTTTTGAAAGATTCAAAACAAAAAATTTGTTTCAATAAATTTACTTTGTAAAAATTATTGAACTCAAATGATATTTAAACCAAAAAAAAATTATAAATATAATAAAAATTATGTAAAAAATAAATTTCACAAGCAACTTGAAAAAAACATAATAACATATTTTTTATTTTCCAATTGCTTGTTGGTTTTACTCTCGCAATTTACATTATACTTATTACTCTTTTTGGTTCAAACATCAAATAGATTCAATAGTTTTCATGTACATGAGCTTTGATTCTTGGATCAGTCATAAAAGAATTTAAAATCATATTACAAAATTGAAAACTATCACTTTCACAAAGACCAAATTGACAAAATTTTAAAAATAAAAGATTAAAATGATTTTTTTAAAAAAATAAATGACCAAAATAAATATTAAAAATAAAATAAAAGACGAAAAGTTAATGGATTTAAAAGTGATGTACTGGTAGTGCAAAATGTTTTACACAGCCAACCAATTAGAAACATGATTTATATGACTAATTGACTATTTAGATAGTTATTGTAAAAGTCAACACAATTATTATTTATGGTGAATTATGATTGAATGACTGTGGAAAACATGTATCACCATTAAATCCAAAGTTAATTTAGCCAATTAAATAAGTAAACAAATCATGAGATAAGACAACCACGACAGGCATATGAAATTGGAGACTAGCATTGCCTGACCACTTTCAGAACAATACTTGGGGCAACAAAAGAGTGCATATGAAACAAAAAACTGACAGGGCAACTGCAACTGGGATAGAGACAGGCAAGTCCAGAGTACCTGGGACTTGAGACTGGTGCCAAACTATGGCTACGACAAAAGATAGAACACGGCAAAGGCAAGACACCTTCCACCTTTCTCCACCTCAATGCTAAGCCAACATCATGAAAAACTGAAGATAACAACCACAAAGAATGTCCAGAAATAGCTCAAAAACGTCAAACCAATACAACAGAGAAAAAAATGTCAGATTTGAGCCTAAGACCTAAGTAATGGCAGAACACAGCCTAAAGGAGCCAAACACCCATGCGTTACACAAACCACGTGAGGTTGGGCCGACCTTGGAGAGACGAACCGGACCTAGTGGTCGATGAGATGGCCAGGATGAAACAGTAGAATGAGCGTACAGCAAGAGAGAGGACTACTTAGAATGAAAAGACAGAAACAAAGTATAATAATTATAAGCTACCACACCATGTTAAAATTATAAGATTTTTAGGAAAACCAGAAGAAAAATTAGAATTTGGGATTGAATCTAACATTCCTCGTGTTTTATATCCTTCTATACGGATTTGCATCGGAGATTGAGGAAACAATTTGTAATCTTACTGAAAATCTTAAAAAAAAAAAAAAAAAATTAGTAGTTGATTTTAATATTGTATGATGTGGTGCCCTTCCTTGATCTAAACTTTTTTGTAACTAAAAAAAATCATGACTTGACATGATGCGGGGATGCCCTTTTTTTTTTTTGATAAATACAGAAACAAATAGTGAGATACCAAAAAAAAAAATTGGAGGGTGGGTGGGGTGGACTACCTTGTTTGGTGGTCCATGGTGATCCATTACTTAAAACCGTTGAATTTATCTCATCCTAGGATATTACCGTAGGCCCTCAACAACAGATTTATTTTTATTTCTCCCTCTCCTTTCTGCATTCGTGACACCTCTTGCCAGTGGCTTTTGCGGTAATCGATGTTGGCTTCGAGAGGGAAGTAGAAGATGGCTTTGGAACAGCGAAGCTTGAACACAACTGGTTTGTATGCTTTGGCGGCTTTGATTCACATTCCCCTGTGGTACTTCTTCTCTTCCATCCACTCGGTCTTCTTCGGGAGAAAGATTTAAAGTGAAAACTTTTTCCACGCGATTCAGGTTTCTTAAAGTCCTACGTGGTTAGAAACGTGAATTCCAACGACAATGTTTGGGGTTGGGATTTGGGGGTTTCGAGGTTTATTATTTTGGGTTCGGACTCTAAATGAAAGAAGGGAAATTGGTTTTCCATTGAAGCGGCTGGAAAGTTGACGAAGATTTGGTCCATCATTACGGATGAGTCAGAATTGAAGGATTAAGAACAGAGGGAGTTTGATTCAGATAAGTTTGCGTTTGGCTGGTTAAATAGAAAACAAAAGTTGTTGTTCTTGGTGAGGTTAGAGGAGGAAGTGGTGAGTGGGAGGGGAACGACGACGTGTGGAACGGAAGGTAGAGGAAGCCATGAATGGCTTTGCTGAAATGAGCGTAAACTCTTCCTTCGATTAGGGCATCTCCACCAACAATATGCTACAGTAAGAGCAGGAGCTGTTGAGGAATGGTTGAGGAGGAAGGGAGCATAATCTAATGTAAATGATTCACGTGTAATCTATATCTAGGAGATTAATCTAATGGTAGAAATTAATAGACCACCATAGACCATCTATCAAGGTAGACCACTGTATCCTCCATCACAAAAAAAAAAAAGAAATATGAAAACTAGAGAAATGGAGGAACGGATTCTAAGAGATAATTCTAAAATAGTATAAAGTATAATGTTGAATATTGATATTATGAGATTTTTTCATATATTCTAATAAACCTTAATGACCTAGTGATAGAACTCAATTCAAAGTAGCAAATCTAGTTTATGACAATGTCATTCAAAATAATGCTATCATGGTTTATCTTTAGGATTATCTTATTTGAATTTGTTATCATAACTTATCTTTAAGATTTATCATTTGTATTTTGTTATTATAATTTATCTTTAGGAGTTAGTTTAGGATTATGTTATTTGAATTATGTTATTATAGTTTATCTTTAGGATTTATCTTCTTTTAACAATTTTTGAGAGCTAGTTAAGGGAAATGATTATAAATATAGAGTAGTTTGAGAAAGGGAGACAGTTTTGGAGAATTTTTATTGGATTGTAATCAGAGCCCATGCTTTGGGAGAGAAAGGTAGTAGATTAATCGGTCAATCTATTTTTTATTTGAAATAATAATGTCCAACCCTTTTTGGGTTTCCACCACCTTTTTACATCATTTTCAAGTTGTTTGTGACTTAAACTAGAGCATTTAACTTTCATCTCTATATTAAATGGTTTGCTGACTCTTGTTTCAGGGACAAGGAACTGAACTGTCATAGGTCGTTCTATGTTGTTTCTTTTGCATGGCTATCAATGCCCAAGTTAAATTAAGTTGCTCATTGCTAACTAAAATCATTCAGCCATTACACAAAGCTTGGCAATTTAATATTGCATGAAACAATTTTCACTCACTAAGCTCCCAGAGTAGAGCACTCTAGGGTATATCTCGGCAAAACTAAACCATAAAAAATTAATGTGCCGGTCAATATAAATTTCTGTTTTCTATTGTTACTAAAAATTTAAAACCCTTTTGAAAGGAGCACAAACCTCGCATCTGATGGTATGGAATAATCCCCAGTGCCATGAAAAAGAACTATAGGAGGTAGTAGAGAAATCGCATTTCCAATGTTTGGATCTTGAACCATTAGCTCTGGAGAAAACCGTCGCAGGGATTCCTCCCCTTCCATTATGCTGTAAGATAAAAGTAGTCATTCGAAAGTCTAATTTAATGAAAATCAGAGTGTTAAACATAATACTGTTGAAGATTTCACTTAAGATGAATGAAATGAAGTGCGTACCTTAAAAAGATGGACCGATAAAGACCTCTACTGTTGAAGTGATCTACTAAGTTAAACAAATTATACCTACATTGATGTAAGAAGACATCAAATAAATTAAGTTAGTTGTTATTGCGTATCTTCTGGATTGGTGGGAAATACAAGGTATATAACAAACATTCGTAATCAAATAACATTGCATTTACCATAAGCAAAATAAAAGATTAATTGTAATAATTAGTGGTTATTGCATGTCTTCTGTATACATTTAATTTTGCCATTAAAATTTGAAAAAGATTAAATCCATACCTGATCGATCAACTTGAGGGACGGATCTAGAGCACAATTAAAGGGGGGCGGGGGGAGACATTTTTTTTAATAATAAATTTAGATAAATATTAAATCATAATTCTTAAATACATCATATTATTTATCTAACTTATATATATATCATTCTTTTATATCATAAAATCATCAATGATATATATTTACATATATATATATATATATATATATATATATACATATATATCAATTTTTAACTAATCTTTCAATATAATCATATACTTAAAATAATAAATATATTTTATTTTTTAAAAAAATCAAATAGTGAGGGGGGGCGGAATACTTTCTTCTGTAACATGTACAACAGTGTAACAATCCTAATATTAGTAAAACAAAACGCTTTTGTAACATATCACAATCAAAATTTGCATTTCTAACATGGGATCTGTCACGAACCAAACAAAAAAGTAGCTTAAATTATCAGGTTGAAAGCCCGTCAATGGCTTTCATTACATTTTTAACAAACTCCCTCACGTAAAGCACACAGACTCACCTACCATATACTTAAATTCAACTTTTTTATTTTATGCAAAAGAATAGAGTGACCAGGGATCAAAATCTAGATTGGCGATTAGTTCCTGTTGGTCGGGAACAGACACAATCTTCCAATTTTGTTTTCACGTGTGCAGATATTAGTTCTATCATTCTATGCTTTCAGGAATCTCTTGTATCTCATATCTTTAATTTTATGTTAACCGTAAAAGAGAGATATTGACTCTCCTATTACCTTGGCCTAGATCAGTTTACAGTCGTTACCCTAATTCCCTATTTATTCTACCATCTTGTAATCGATCAAATCAAGGAAAATAAAATATTTTCTGCAAGGTAGCAAAGCGTATTAATATGAGCCATGTTTGATTTCAAACTGCATGTTGCTCCATTCATCGCATACAAACTAGAGACTAACAGTCTAGAGGTAGTATCTAGATTGGAGACTGATACCCTGCCATAACCAGCCTGATTGAAGGACCTATTCCTATCATTGGCCACAAACAGAAGGGACAAAACTCCATCCAAACTTACCAGTCCAAAGTTCAATTTTTTTTTTCCAAGGAAAAGAAGAATATATCACCGGGGATGCAAGACAAGTGGAGAAAGATGATCCCAAAAATAAAAAATGGAAACTTAAAAATAGCCTAGTGATATCATGGTTGTTGAACATTATAAGATGTTTCCACATTAGCTAGGAATATTGATCAAAATAATCCTTATAAGACATAGGCAAACCTCTTGTGCTAGAATTTAAAATAATCCCTTATACAAGACATAGGCAATTCTCACCCCTTGTGCTAGCATTTTGGGTAAGCGCAGTAGATTTCGAACATGACATCAAAGTCTGTCCAGTGTTGGTGATGAGCAACTCACAAATGTCCAGTCCTATAGACTTCATGATCCAGATATCCAGCCCTGTGAGAGGTGTGCATTAAGACTTAGACAATCCTCACCACTTTAGCTACCTTTTTGGGTTGACTTAGGCCCTATTCATTTCTAATAAACATAACCAATGGGATTGAAGAGAACATCACGTACTACTTCAAATGTGAATAACATAATAATTATCAACCTCGTATAAATGCACACAAATTGATAACAACGAAAATCAAGAATGAATGAGTGCAATCCCAGAAGTTCCAATCGAAAAAACAAAATGGCACAAGTGGATGATGCTACGATTGCTTCAAGGGCGACCAATGAAGTTTATGAAAAAACAAAACACTATCAGAACAGAACGCAAGGATAGAACACAGGGGGTGAGCGGTAAAACAGAATTCGGACTAAAAAGAAGGTTGACTCGACGATACTTAAATAGAGAATGTGTTGCCAATTGACAGAACAGAGTACGTGCAAAACAGAGAAGTGTGTATGCCAGGCAAGCACCGAGTGTTGGTTGTTTGTGTCAAATCAGGTAATAGAGAATTGAATGTGGTTTGAATACGCTTCGTATAAGGTTTCTGAAACTCATTACAGTTGCGCCGCTATAGCTCACATAATAGCGCGATTCTCCACTATTGAGGAACCCTTCGATATTTGAATCTCTTTAGGGGCCGCTCATTAACTACTAACACTTGTGCAATCTTCAAAATCAAGAGTTTACACTTTATGACCTACGGCAAAGTTTTAGAAACCCACCAATGGACTAGAATAAATATTCACAGGAATTACCTTGATTAAATTTTGTAAATAGGAGATCTCCATCAAGGGGCTTAACAGGGAAGTATACTTGTGGGCTTGACATTACATTCACACATTCGTAAAGTTTGAGTTTTTTCCACTTATATGATCCTCATTGGCATATTGAGTTCCACATCTCTATTAGACTTAGACAATTCACCGATTAATATCGATAAAGTATTGAGAGTATCGATATCAAATAAGATTTTCATAATATTTTAAGGATTTGGTATTTCACCAACGTATAAGATATGGATAAGTGAAGTAAATTAAAGTACTTCATAATTTCTAACAATTGAGTTCCCAACCCGCCATTCCATCATTATCACAGAAGCACTCCCAAAGATAATGAGTATGTTTGGTTTCAAGTTAGACTTAGAACCACGTGATGTGCGTAAAAAAATACGGAAATGCTAAAGCTACACGAAGTTGCATGGTTATTAACGTGGAAAAGTGAACCGATTTTTTTAAAAGTAACACAAAACCAAAACATTAAGTATGTAATTTTCCAGAAGGTGTAGTATTTTTTTAACACACGATACCAGAGATTGGAAGGAACTTTCTGCAAGTACTTACCCTCCAGATAAACCAAAATAAGCCTTAATCTGGGAAAGACTCCAAGAAGTACTTTCTCCTTCACCTGCCTCTTTGATTGCCTGCTCCACAATTGCACACGCAGCAATATGTGCCCCAGCTGACTGCCCCATTAAGTAAATTCTATACGGAAAAAATATTAAACAAAGACATCATTATTGATCACGAGAGAAGCCATTACCCTTATAGCAAGTGAACAAATTGGTTGCTGTAATGAGAAAACTTTGAAGAGAATGATTATTTACCTGTTAGGGTCACCTCCATATTCTGCAATATTGTTGCACACAAATGAGATACCTTGAGAAGAATCAGCTATCATATCACTGATGGTTCCCTGGGGAAAATTTCTGCAACAAAACAGATCTTATATAACACTGCAATACGAAGACATACGCACGTAACACTCAATTCAGTAGACTATTTATTATTAGGTGAATCTCATGTAGCTTAAGAGTGCCAATTTGAATTAAATACGCTTTTAGTGGTTTGTGATGACTGATGAGGCACGATATAAGCCACTGATTTCCTTAGATTAGTTTTGATCATTACTGTTTTCATTACCAATTTTCATTTTCATTTTGACTTGTATATTTCAATAATCCCTCTGCTTATTAACCAGGTTTTGCACCCTATACTGTAAAAACCAGTATATTGACTTCGTTCTGTTGTCATTAATTCTTGGCTGTATACTTCCTATATTTTGATTTTATATAAAAAAAAATAAATAAAAAAATAAAAAAGTTGGGATTCTATAAAATGCAGTCTATGTGGCCATAAATGTAGTTGCAAAGAATGTTCGACTCTAAAAACAGTATGAAAAGTCACTAAATACAGGAATTCCATGTCAAGAACTCTACAAGATGAAACCTTTAGCTGATACACAGGTCATATGGTTGGTATGACTAATAATATGATCAACTTCTAGGAATAGATGGAAAAGGGAAGAATGAGATAGAGAAGTAACGCATAAAACTATAGTTCACTAATTCAATTTTAATAGTTGCGATACAAAAGCAGACCTTATACATCACTTTACACTAATAAAAATAGAACCTAGGAATAAAGGGTTTTCTTTATTAGTAAATATAAGGATTAGTCTCCATAACAATTTTAATGCTGCTAGATTGCATCTATTACCTAGAGCAAAATACTGATGTGAGAATAGATGAAGAAAAGATCACCTGTAATCTATGCATGCCACAATGATATCTCTCTCTGATAACTGTTGGCCTAAAAGAGAACCCCATGCTTTGTAACTACACAAATACAAACACTTCAAAACTAGTAAGAACAGAATTGGTAGGTGGTGAACGTGCACATGTTGTATACACTAGACACGCAACACATAATGAAACTAGTAGCATCGGATCGCACAAGGGACGATAAATATCAAAAAGAAAAACATGGTATATAATTTAAAACACAATTATAAACTCCTCAGTTTGAAACTACACACTTCATAAGACATTATACAGTTCTGTTAAATATAGCTCATGCAGCATGTATAAATATTAGTTATATAGAAAACAATAATATATGTATGATTTGATTACAATTAGCATTGATTCGGGATATCATTGGAAGATTACTATAGTCAATGACTCGATATAAATAATACATGTGTGTGGTGAACATTTGACACACAATTACGAAAGCTAATATGGTATTAGTAATTTAGGGTTTGATCCAGTCAGCCTTAACCTTTTTTACACAGTTTTGGTGCCTTAGTACTTGAATTTATCTTGTGGATTACATTGATGACTGTTGAGATTTGACTTGATTTCCATTTAATCTCAGTCATTATTATTCCATATTCCTGCTTTTATTATTCTTGCCAAGTTAACATTATATTGTATTCAATATTTGATTGTATAATCCCTACAATTAAGGGATTCCATTATTATTGCAATTTATTTCTGATCATTATAAATTAAGGATCGAGGAATCACTGTCTTCAAGCATTCAGATTAAAAGTTTGATATTCACGTTGGTATCAGAGACTGATTTTACTTGTTATGTTTATGATCTCTCTTCAGGTCTTGATATCAAGTGCATTTTCCTTGTTATTTACGGACCTACAAAGGATATTGGTTCTAATCTGTTGCCAACCACCGCTTTTACATGTCTGTTAATGTCAACTTCTACCAAGATACTCTATTTTTCGCCTCGTCCAATTTCCTTCCCTCACCTGGTCCCTCTCTTTCTTATTTATCAACGTCACCCTAGACCTCCATCCTCTTTAAATAATGAACTTCTGTTTAAAACAAGATATAAAAATAAGAATCGAAGCTCATATACCACTCCATTGATAAGAATATCCATCCTCTCAATAAATAAATAAATAAACAACATCAAAGCCTCACCTAATTCCGTTAAATCAGAAATATGAAATGAAGCACAGACACCACTTAGTACTTACCCAATAATCCAGGCACCACCAGTAATAAAAGCAACAACTGGTTTTGGACCATTGCTGTTTTTAGGTAAGTACAAGTCAAGCCTGCAAAAGAAAATAAACTATTAATCAAAATCAAAATTACAACAACCGTAGGAATTTATAAATGTAGAGAGAGAATATAAATAATAAATAAATCATACCTATTTCGTGGTTTATCTCCATAAACTATGCTTCTGCGTATCTGTTTGGAGAAGAAATAGTAATATCCAACTATAAAACAGAAGGACAGACGAAGGGTGATACTAATGCATTTGAAAATTCAAATCAGCATCTGGACATGTACGAGAATTATGCTATAGATCACTGAATTCGGACCTTGAATAAAGCCTGGGAAAAGCAGCACTGCATAACAACCAAGGGCAAGAAATCTCGTAATCCATTTATAGCCTACCCTGAACAGAAATAAATAACCAGAAAGCATCCATAACTGCCACACGGAAATGTTGGATTTCATTGAAAAATCGATCGGCATTCATAACAAAATCAGAATTTATTCAAAACTACAAAATCAGAATATTAGCAACACACTCTTTAAAACACTCCCCTTAATACACCACTTTTATTGGTTAGAATTTATTCAAAACTACAAAATCAGAATGAAGAATCATTAAATAGAGTGAGACCCACTAAATTTTATGTTTTCCAACGAATTTCAACCAATTTGAGAGACCATGTTTAAAAGAATATGTTGTTAACTTTTTTTATTATGATTACACTACTAGTCAATGCGAGATCTTCATGCCAAGGACGGGACATCTCATCTTATAAGATGAGGACAACTCTTCACTTATATACACTACTATGGTTATACTATAAGGTGATGTGAGATCTCCAATACACCCAAGACATGTAACATTATGAGTTCTGAAACCATCTTTAAAAACTGATTATTACCCTTACAAAAGCGACTTATCCTCACTTACATAAACTACCATTTAGAACACGCCACAAGTGGAGATCCACAACGGTTAATTCGTAAAAGACAAACAAGGAGAATGAGACGATACCCGAGGTAACTGAGCATCTTGAAGCCGAGGCGGGTCAAGAGAAAGGTCTCGGAGGCGACGTCGCGGCCGAAGGAGGAGGTGCGGGAGGAGGCAGTGTCATGGGGAAGGGAGGGGAAGGAGTCCTGGCTGGCGGCACGGCGGCGGCGCTTCTGGTGGAAAGAAGAGGGAGCGTTGAGTTTGCGGGAGGAGGCGGTGAAGCTGGAGGCCCTGGGCAAGGGAGGCTTGAAGGACAAGTCTCGGAAGGAGCGGAGGAGACTGGCGGAGGGGTCATTGGCAGCGTCGTCGTCGTCGTCTTTGGCCTTGACCAGTATCGGAGGAGAGGGATCGGAGGGACGGTTGGGCATGGGAAGGATCTGAGATGGCATCGTTTACAACTGAGGAGGTGCTGCTGGCGCTGCCTTCAAAAAATGAAAACTTAGGAGAGAGAGAGAGAGAGAGAGAGGGATTGGTTCGTCGTGCTTGATTGGCTTTGGTTGGCACAACGTGGGGCCCGGATGGGGTTTTGAGTTTGTCAAATGAGCTGTGTACACAAGTGCAAGAGCTAAGTGTCCTGGTCAAATGCTTTTTTTATTGTTCAAAAATTACGTATTCATCTTGTAGTGTAACGTCTACAGAAATGTGATAAAAATAAAAAATTTGCTTTTTTTTTTATATTGTTGTAAGAATTTTATATGTATCAAACTTTTTTTTTTATTCGTTCATGGAGTATCCACTCCCGACAGTGGTGACTAATCTCCTGGCTAGGTTAGAGGCGACTCAAAGAGTGGGATAGCTGGCCCCAAGATTTAACGCGGCTGCATACAGCAGGCAGGATTCGAACCCCTGACCTTGTTTAAGCGTGGATCAACTCCTACTGCTGAACTACACGCTTAGGGTTATATGATAAAATTATATAATACTCTTTTCTTTATATTTTAATCTCATTAATTATTTTTTGTTATCCATTTGTTATAATTTTTAAAATTATATTAGGTTAAATTACTGCTGAACCACACGCTTGAGGTTATATGTATGTATCAAACTTATAACGTGTGTAAATAATAATTTAATTAACTAAAGATAGTTTTTTATGTTAAACTAAAGATAGTTTACGCAAGTAGTTAGATAGTTATACTTTAATTAAATGTCAGAATTTTCACTTAAATATGGAGTCGTAACTGAATTACTATCAGTTACTATTTTATGTTTTTAAGAGTTGATTGAGTAAAATAAATTATATCCTTTTATTAAACCAAATAATAATAATTTATCTTGGAGAATAAATGTTTTTCTTGTATTTTCATCTAATTATAAATTAATATTTTACAAAATACATGTGTTACTTTTAGAAATACAAAATACATGTTATTCATATTAAGAGTGCTCAATTTATTTTAATCCATGATTAAGGAACTTACAAATCACTTTATGTTCAGCTAATTAATTTTAACTATTAGTTCTTTTTAATGCTAAATTAATTTTTTTTTATGTTTTATCTACTTTAAATACATGGAAGGGATGAAATTAGAAGGAAAGAAAATATTTTATACTTTAAATACATGTTTGGAAGGGGATAAAACTAGAAGAAAAAAAATACGGAGAAAGAAAGACTCAGAATATGATATATTTTATTTTGTTTAGTTGGAGATAAAATGAAAGGAAATTAAAATGGAAAGTTGACTTTAAAAAACAAAATTCACCAAAAGTTACTAACATAAATGGTTCAACATTTGTGTTTCCTAATTAGGGAACATGTTTTAATCCTTGGACATGAAGTGGCAATTAGTACCATTTTACTCTTAACATAAGTCAATCTATTAGGAAGAAGTTATACCACCTTAATATACCAAATAAAATTCAAATTTTATTTTCCTTCCAGTTTTCTTTCAATTCAATTTTTTTTCTCTCTTCTCATTTTTCATCCATCCAATCAAACATAGGGTAAATGTCTCACAACTAAATCATATGCTCACAACTCTTTTTACACTTTTAATGTTATGTCTCACAAATTTTTAAATCAAATATAAATTTAATGAAACTTTTTTTTAAGCATTTAACATGTTTTTGTGGGTTAAACTCGAATTATATCATAATTGATTAGGTTAAAAAAGATCATTCAAAAATCAAAGTTTAAATTCTATGCTTCATCATATGGATTCATATTGGCATGTTTATAGTTTGTTTTGATACAAGTTAAAAAGAATTTTTTAGTAGAAATCCTTTAAAAAATACTTATTCATCTGTATCCAAACAGGATCCTAACTCGACTCTTTTTGTTATTATAAGAATTACAATGACAATAACAAGATCCAAATTAAGGACCTTGTACATATTACTTTAACTCTTTACCACTAGGTTGACCTTAATAGTTCAAAAGAGGTAAAAAGTTTTAGAAAACTCTTATAAGGTTTCATTATAACAGCTCGATTTTCACAGATTGTAGGAATTTCCAAAAGCCCAATAGGGGTGATTTAGTAGTCTAGAACGGGCCATTTCCAAATTGGAACAGGCCATTCCAAACTACTAAAACGAGGGTGATTTAGTATCTTAGAACGGGTCGTTCCTAGATTGGAACGGGCCGTTCCAAAATACTACAAGTGCCTACAAATCTTAGTTGGGAACGGGACGTTCCAAATTACCAAAAAGGCTCCCTAGTTGGGAATGGGTCGTTCTGGTTTAAGAACGGGTCGTTCCAAATATGGCTATTATGGGTTAAATGCAACCCTAGAACAGCCTATTCTAGTTTGAGAACGGGTCGTTCTGAATGTGAAATTTTACACATGACAAAGAGTCTAGAACGGGGCGTTCTGGATTTGAAACGAGTCGTTCCGGCCACTCTTGATGCCTATAAATAGAGCGTTTTAGCACTCTCAAAAAGCACACATTTCAATTCTGACTTCTTTTCCTTCTACATTCTCTGAAGACCGAGGGGAACCCAAAGGAGGAGACCAACCAGATTCTGCTCTATTTTCAGCTACTGCTTATAGAGGTACGGGAGAAAAAGGGATTATTTGTATGCAGAGTTACATGAGGGAATTGGGTAGAAAAAGAGTCCCTTAGAATTATGGATAATTTTATAATTGTTTCTGTTTAAGGAATTGATGATCCCATTAGATTCTGTATGTATTAAGGATTACAAATATATATTTAATTTGCGAAAATGATGATTTGGGAGAGAGAACAAAATTGTAGAAAAGTATCTGTGAGTCAGGTTTTGGAAAAATTGGGAGTTTTACTATTTGATTTAATATTATATTAAATTGGTGAATTAATTGAGTTTTATATTAATTTATAAATATTATTGTTATATTATTGTTATAGATGTGTATTCATGGTGAATTGCTTGAAGGGTATATGAATCATTGTATTTTGTAGACTTATTTGTATGTGATATGGAATTTGAGTTATGAGATGGGATGTTGTATTGAATGTGAATATGATGTGATTGTGGTTCCTCACACTAATAACCAGGGATGGCACGACCCTTGAGTAAGTGATGCCATAAGGACGGCGTGACCTTGACATAGTGTGGGATGAGTGAGGCAATTAACACGTATCACTTATGTCAGTTGTAGCGTGGCCTTGGCATAGGGTTAATTATAAGATTTGTGTGGATTGTGATGTGATTGTGGTTCCTCACACTAATGACCAGGGATGACACGACCCTTGGGTAAGTGATGCTACATGGACGGCGTGACCTTGGCATAGTGTGGGATGAGTGAGGCAATTAACCCGTATCACTTATGTCAGATGTGGCGTGACCTTGACATAGTGTTAATTTTAAGGTTTGTGTGGATTATGAATGTGAAAATGATAGTGTTAATTGTAAGAATTGTAATGGATTGATATGACTGTGAATTTGTGATGTGAAGTTGATGCATGATTGTTAGAGATGGTTGTAAAGAAATGAGTTATGATGAAATGATGTGTTGGATTTTCCTTGTGTACTTTACATATAGATGTTTTCTTTTCTTACCGTATAATTTGTGGATATTTTAGGTGAGGAAGACCCAGCTTTGAGTGGCATCTCGAATGCCAACAATTGAATTGTGGGTGTGCTTTGATATTGTGACATCGAGACAGAGAATTCTAGGATATGAATTTTTATGTATTTGGAGTTGTACCTTTTCTTTTGAAAATAATTTGTAAACTCTTATGTTTATTTTTCAATTTTTATTTTCAATTATTTTGGATATTGAAGAACAATGATGAAGGTTTTATGTGAACCCTTTTACCAACGTTGAAAATTTTATTCTTTAACTTATTTACATTGTTACAATATATGTGTTGGAGTAATAAGGGTGTCACAATCATCCACTCTTTAACAACTAACATAAGATTACTAATTTTTGTAATAATTATTTCAAAATTTATAGTTAAAGTATTTTTTAAGTAGTTGATGATATTAAATTTTTTACGTTGATAGTTTATGAAAATTAAAATCTAATAAAAATAGGTTAAAAATAGTTTGATGGTTTAGTAGTCAAATTAAAATATCACTTGTTGAACTAGTTAAACCAATATATATTAAAAATTAAAAAATAATATAATTAACATAATTTAAAATATTTTATACATTTAAAGATAAAATTATTGACATATTAAATGATAAATATCACATATCTAAACTTCAAATTCAAAATCACAAGTCATAGTAACACAATTTCATATTTCAAACTCAAAAATATTTTCATTATAAAATAATCAATATCCAACATAACAATTAAATTAACATTCATAATAATATAACTCATAAATATCAAGTTCATAATAACAAAGTTCACAAATAATTAAATTAAAGTTAATGACACAACTTCATAAATAAATTTAAATATATATATATATATAACATCGACAAAATTCATATCTAAGTTACTAATATTTCAAGATATAATTGTTTACAAAGTTGTAATACATTTTTTTAATAAAAAATTGGAATTTTTAATTTCTTGTGCCAAAAAAAAAATTTGAAAACCAAATTAGTTCATTGGATTTTTTTTTGCAAAAAATTAATTACTTTGATATAATTCAACTATGCAACCGGTTTGATGAACAAACCATTCTAGTTTGCATGCATAAGAAAAGATTTATCTATCAATAAATATTAATGGTTCACCATAAACCACTTAATCTCCTTCCCCACCTTAGCCTTCACCATGAATATGAGTCATAAGCTTCCTAACTTGAACTTCTTAAAAGTAGACAATTATTATATGTATGTAATTTGGAAAGAACTAATGTCATACTTTGAAATGCTAAAAGTAAATAAAAGACACAAGTATTTCAACTTGTGCCATTTAATCGAAAATCAAAGTTTAATCATTGACTTGGATATGTAATTACAATTAGAGATATAATTTTATTCTTATAGGAATGGATTTGGTAGAAAAAAGTTATATCTCTTTATTCAATAATAATAATAATAATAATAATTTAATTAAAATACATTTTATAGAAGACATGTTTCTAATTCTCCATTCTTATCTGAACTCTCTTAAATTTAGTCTC